CGGAAACACAAGTATGGATAAGAATTTCAACATGGCCTTTTGGGGTTATTTGTAATAAATTGAAATTTGTTTAACAGAACCTCTGCCATCTTTCAGTTTAAAAACGAAGACAGAATTGTCTTGCAACACTGCACACTTTCCAAAAGCACATTCGTTGGCCCCCGTTTTGCACACGAATGTGTCTCTGAGGTTAACCACGTTCAGCTCCGAGCTCACTCAGCTCTCTGACCAGGACAGTGAGAGGCCATGTCACTTATCTGAGGAATTCGCTCCAACCATCTCCTCTTCATAAACACTCCCCTGTGGAGTATGTTTCTCCCTTGTAGTTCTGCCTTTCCTCTTACACACACACCCCTGTAAATCTTCATGCTGTGCGGTCAGTTTGCTTTAGAAACAGCTGAAACCAAAACCCAAACAAGCGCGCACACAACTAAAACAAAATCCATCACGTGAAATTTACACAGCCAACAGATTCTACTTAAACTTTTCATAAACTGGAAATGCTCTGCTTCTTTTCCTTTTTTTTGTATGGAAAGGACTTCTAACGGTGCTGTATCAAAGGATACATTTCTATGCAGAGGATTCTGCTTTGTATTCTTTTGTATCCAAAAGTTCCCTTTCAACAGTCTTTTAATGTTTCTCAGTAACCTTTGTGTCACTCTTAGTTTGGAACATTAAAGCTCTGACAAAATGGCCTATCTACAAGGCAGGACCAGGACGTTTTTATTTGTAGCCATTTTATTACCTTTTAGCAATCTGGCAGTTCAGTGCTTTACATGATTACATCAATAGTGCTCATTGGGCGACAGGCAGCGTGGAAAGCATGGAAAAAAAAAATATGCATGTCAAAAAAGTTATTTTAATCTAATTTTAGCCTGGATGGGAAAAGGACAAATTGCACACAGCATTGTGTAGAAATATCTCTTTTCCTTGGCGTCCACCAGCGCTGTGTTCTTTTGTTTGTTTGCTGACTTGTTCTTTGCAGAAACATGCCTCAACACTGTCACTTATTTGGGTGAAGAATTTTTAATGACTAAAATTAGCACAAAGGACACAACATACCAATCTGGGTTGCCCAGTCTCTCGTCTGCTCAGTTAGCCCAATCTTCCCATTGTTGTGTCTCCTACATGTACCGCTGCAATCCTTCATCTACCCTGACAGCACTACTGATGTCCTGTCTTCAACGTCTGACTTTATATGAAATCCTGTTAGTATGTTAGCTTTAATTCTCCTCCTCGCAGTTTTCATCATACTTACCCATTATGCTTCTGACATTATGTTGACCATTTGGCTGTGTTCTCCTGTTGGAAGCCGAGGTGAATACTTGCCGATTTTCCATTTCCAGTTCATATTTTTGCTTAATTGTTCAGCACATGTCAAAGTCTTGTTCTAAGGTAAATGTAAACTGATCTGATACTTTTGTCAGACCTGCTATAGCGTAGCTGACATGCTTCCTCGCAGTGCTTACATATCCTGATATAGTTTATTATGGAACATTGTGATTTGAAAGCATTTGAAAGCTTTTGATCCATTAATGAATGAGTGTTTATGATGGCATGATCACTTTTTCAAATTTTTGTCTTAAAGTTTCAGAAAAGTCACTAAGATAAATAACTGCAGCATTCATAGTTCTTAAAAGACATGTTGCTCTGATGTGTAAAAAATGTCTTCAGGATTGACAGAAACCAACAGTGGTTTTAAAAAATATGGAACATATGCATGTACATGCAATGAACGTATCTCCATCTGATAAAATGCAGACAGACGTGTCCACAGAGTAAAACTGTGTTTTCCGTCAGAATGAAATTCCAGAGCTTCCGACTGATCCCAACGATGAGGAGAATGTAGCAAAGTGACGACAGAGATAAGAACGGTAAGGGGAGAATGTGATCTGGAGCACGTAGGTGTGTGTCTTTGATGTAAATTAGTGGTGCCCAAGTCCGGTCCTCAAAATGAACCTGAAAGACTGCTGGTGAGAGAATCCAGCTTTTTGTGTTGGAGGAGGGATTCTTCTAAAAGTTGCAGGATGGTAGCTCTTTAGGACTGGACCTGGGCACACCTGATGTCAATAAAATACATTTAAATATTTACTGTATAACTGTGTACCTTCCTGTCTGAGCTGGTTGGACATTAGAGAAAGGGAAGTTTGATGTAAATAAATGTTCAGTCTCATTTTTCTTTTGATCAAGACTGGAGAGACTGACTGATCACAATTTTTGCTCTGTGCTGAGGTAATCTGGTTATTTATCTACTGTGAGTAAGTTTAACCCTGTGTGTGACTCTGCATTTTTAGCAGGGTAATGCAACATGCAGGTCTCACCAGCCAGATGGACTCTCTGACTCCATTTATGCACTTGTTCAGGTGTATACATGTTAAGAGCCATTGTTTTCACTTCAGCCAGTCAGGAGTCATAGAAATGTTTGCAATCATGGCCGCATTTAATCATTGACATCGATGGCGTCCGACAAGATCGGTTGTTTATGCTCCATGTCACACAAAACACCCTGAATTATGTTGTTATTCCATTGTTTTTATCACTAACAAAGTCTAATAAATTCGGAGATTTAGACCGCAATAAGCTGAAAGTTCTGGATTTAATTGAGCAGTTTACATTTTTCAGTGATTTCCCCACCACCAACTCTCCATGAAGAGATTTTTGTCAACACTTTCACATTTTATGATCCCACTCCACTAAAAGCTGCAGTGTATGTGTGCATAACTATACGGCAGGGACTGTAACAAAAATTATGGTAGGTCAATCTATTGACTAACAATTGACTTCAAGAGTCAATTAGTGGCTAGCAAATAGTTTAATAATATAAAAACAATTATTTTGTTTTTGTTGATAAAATTATGGTTTAATTTAAATATACAGACACATATTAAAAGCATAAACTACAGAAATGTGAATTTCTAATGCACATTCTGGTATTTTGGGCTTCTTACACGCTGTAATTTTCTGTCTTTTTAAGACAGATATGTCAGATATGCTGCAAGCAACACAGTTTTGTGACAGAGCTGTACCTTTTAAAGTTTGTTTTTCATTAAAACAAACTTAAAAAGTTTAATGTGATTTGACTTTACGTTTCAAATGCTTGCCAATGGACTGATTTCTAAAGGTGTTACAAGATAAAAGGAATCGGAGTGCTGCTGCAATGACTTTAAACTCTTCATGTCAGCAGAAGGCCGTGTTCATTACTTCCTTCTGTATACACTGGTGAAAATGGGACAGCAGCTGTTGCATGAATGTCTGTGTTACAGACATTAATAAGTCATCTGGAAGGAATATAAAATCAATATTAAGACATCGTGGTTGGATCAGCTTCAAGCGCTCATGGTCTGACTGAGATGACCTGCTGTTGAGTGAAACTGCAAACTTCACAGTGCAACTTCAAAATATCAGAGGACGTCAAATATCTCATCTCCATAAGTTTACCATCTATTTACATAGACAATAAATTTGTAATTTCCCTTATTTCTAGTCTCAAATACCATTTTACAAGTAATAATGACAAATCCTTTGTGGCTACTACAGTTGTTTGTGTCCTTAAAAAAACAAAAAAACAACTGTACTAAAAGACAAGCGAAAACACATGTTAGTAATTTATTTCACTTGACATGTTTGTCCACTTAACAAAATAAAAGGAATTTGACCTTTTCAGACACATTGTTGTTGCTAAACACAATCTAAACACAATTTCACACAATTCTGTGCAGCTATTTCTTCCTTTCTTAGTGGAAACTGAAATGTTTTGGTTGTGTTTGTACGGAGAGGTTCATTTACAGATTTAGATGCAGTTATGCTTAAGATACCCAATAGCAAGAAATCTAGCAGATCTGCACTGAAGGTTATTCTAAAACCTGCAACTATGGAGGGAAAAGTGTTACACTGTTCTTTTTTCACATAGCAGGGTTTCTGTCATTTAGTTCTATATTCAGAAATGTTTAACCTCTTTGTGTTGCTTTTTACTGCCACTGGTTTTAGTGGAAATTATTTTTTTAAATACTTTACATACAAAGAAAACTTTGCCCACCTGTTTGGAAAAAAGGAACAATGATGTGAAAACAGAAAAAAAAAACTTTCAGGAATGAAAGTTGGCATAGTAACGCAGATATATTTAGCCATTTTCTTTTTAGTTTATTTTGAGTTTGATTTGAAAACAAAAGAGTAAAAGAAACAATAAATAAATAATAACATGCATAAGAAATATAGATTTCAGTCTAGTTGCAGCTCAGTTTTATGTTCAAAATGGGATAGGGAGAAGCATAAACCTATAAAAATCCTACCTTAGTACTTCAAAATCAAAGCGGTCATTGTCTCATTTTGAAAGACTCGTTAGTAGCCATTAGGCACCTGTGCTTAGGCATCCAACATTGGTCTTTAGCTTGCCTTTCCTTTCCCCTTAAGGTGCCGTTCACCTCATCAGGATGCTCTTCAAGATGTTTCATTTATCCCACTCAGCTCCTCTAGACTAGCAGCAGCAATTAGCCAATACCTGATGTCGCTGAGCTCATCATACCAACTACTTCTCAGTCCAACACTCCTCAGAGTGGTAGTAAGTGCCATCAATGGACAGCATGGAAAAGCTGTCATAATGTGCAGAAAGAGTAGAAGCTTCTTAGAGAGACAGCGGCAAATTGCAAGGCGTCAGATAGCTATGAAGTCATATGTCTTTTAAGTTACGATAGCATTTTCATAACAACTTCAGGTAACAGAATTACTTGATTGTGCTATAAAATGTATGCAAAGAAAAGACATACTCCATGCTCCTTTTTCAGTACTTAATTATTTGAAATAGTCCTTAGTCCTGCTTATTGCTCATCCTATCCAATATTCCCTAACCCATAGTCTCAGTCCTTGAGCAGAACAATTACTTTGTTCTCAAAAGTGAAGCATACGTCAGTGTTGTGCAAGTTCTACACCTTGAACCAGAATTTAAAAAAAAAAAAACATTTAATTGCTAAACAACGGTTATTTTTGAAGCTTAGGCATAATACCTTGTTGAAGGCACAGGTGTTCCACTTTATGCTGCAGTAATAGCTCCATATACTTGTAGTAGGATTGAAGAGGCCCTTGGCAGACCCTGAGGGGTTTTAGACATGCCGGCCTCCTGCTTGTCCCCCTGTAAAAACACAAGGAATACTCGGCTTTATTCTGTTATAATCCAGTCTGGTTTTAATTTAAACTGGGCCTCTTTGGATCCTGGCCAGGTAAAAGCTTCCCACTGAGAAGATATCGATCTCTCTCTCTCTCTTTCTCCCCTTCAGTCATTCTGACCTCTCTTGCTCCATGATGTAAAATGCAATCTTCTCTGCAGTAACACGGCATGACAAGAAGAGATACACCCTCGTCCTTGGGAAATATCACCATCAATCTGCCACCTTCACTGTGGCACACATTCTTCCGTCTACCTATGCCGACTCATCCAGTTGTTTCCACCCAGTTTCTCTCTCTTTATTGCTAGAAGCTTCCAGCAAAAGTGATATTGGAAGTAGGCTCTTGTGCGGGCGTTACATTTGATTTACTGATTGATTTTGTCCTTAATGGCCTTCCTCTCCTTACAACATCTATTCTTGGGTGTTTGACGCAGCCAAAGATAAAGCCTCCCATGCACTAAGTGGCGGCTGGGGTTTCCATAAACCATGCACCATTTCTAATTTCTCCACTTGTTTTTAGGAAAGGTTGCTTGATTATGAGAAAAATTGTGACACAATTATTTGGGCTAATGTTAAAATTATAATAATTGTGACTAAGCCTGGAAACCCCCTGATTTTTTTTTTTTTTTTTTTTTGTTTTTTTGTTTTTTTTTTTTTACTTTTAGACCAAAATAAAAGCATACTTGAATGTACCAAAATTAATTTTGATATATTTTTTTCTTGTGTGTTATCAAAACAATCTAAAGGTAAAGTTAAAACTGGAACACCAGCTATAGTCATTTTAAAACAAAAAATATATATATTTTCAGAGCGTCATGATTAGAGAAATAACAGAAGTTGCGGCATTGCTTAAGTTTACAGAACACCATTAAAAACAAATGACGCAGTGAGCTACACCGCTCATCTCCAGGTAGGATCTACATTCCATTATTTACATGTAATAAATGTTACATCGACAAGTGTAGCTAACTTAACATTTCTGGAGACAAATTATACCTTTTACAAAACAATGGCCGTCTTTTGTTGGGGTTCGGTGGGTTTGTTTTTAAACTTTGCGATCACACATTTTTCATTTGGGTGCAAAAATCCTTATTTCACTCAGATATTATGCTGGCCTTCCACAAACCTCTACTCTCACACCGTTTAAATTATTCTCCCATTGGAACTGCCTCTGTTTGTGGATAAACCTGCGATGTTCGCTCTGTTCTCTCTGGTCACTGATCTCTCTGAGAGCAACAGGCTCCAAAATAGGGCAGCAACATCAAGGTCATACCTTCATCTGAATAACTGAAAGTGTTAGCAGCCAGAGTTGTTGCCTCAATCCAAGGGAGAGCAAAGAAATCATCTATCCAAATGGAGAAAGCTAAAGTGTGAGGTGAGGTGCAGAAGTCAGACAGAAGCAGAAGATATATGGGTCACTAACAGAATATTTCTAAGCCCACATGATTTCCACCCCATCATCCCCCCCAAGTAGATAGCAAGGCTTAAAGTAAGAGCAGTGTAACATTTCAAAGTGAAAATAAGGATAAATGTAAGCTAAAAACTCCTGCATAAGGAGGTTCACTGTAGGAGCACAGCAGTAGGACCCAGAGAAAGCGCTTGGGAAAGGCTAAAAGCAGACCGGTTCTCCACATACAAATCTGATGGGATCTCAGTGCCTTTTGTGGGAGGAAATCCAAATCCACACGGCCCAAAAGATCTACTGCTGACATCCTGGTTTCAGACTCTGCTAGTGTTTGCCTTAAAAGTCCAGCAGCACTGTCCATGCACAATGAACCGTCACTCTTTAACTTTTAAAATTTTCGGTAATCCTGATGCAGACCATGTTGTCTCTCCTGCAGCCATGTGATCGCCACAGGGTTCAATGCACAAAGATCAGCTGGAACATATTTATATCTACAGAATAGCAGATATAGAAATGCACAACAAAAGAAAATCCTCAATGGGGCCATACATAATCACAAGAAACTTTAGACTTCCTTAGTAGTCAGTGGATAATGAGAAGCAAATGCTAAGAAAACATGAACCATCTGAAAAAAGAAGAAATAAATACCTTAAGGGATTTCTTAATGCATTATACTACAATTAACAATCTTTCCATAAACATTAAAACAATGTTTGCAGGTTACTGTAAAAAGATGAGAATTAAAAACTATAAATTTTAATATGCATAATAACTCAAATATTTAATATATTAGATATATTTGCCACCAAACTGCATATATAAAGTGGTTTGCAAACTATACTGAAAAACTGTAATGGATCAGCTTCCTTTGTACATGGAGTTAAAGATTAACATAGTAAAGCATATTTCATTTAGATTCTCTCTAAGTGCTTTATTTTTTAATTCAGGGGTTAATTACTTATTTTAGATTTAATTACTCTAAATCTAAAATCAATTAATTTTCCAACAACTGTATATGTGCCTTCTGAAAGCATATTACTTAGTATGACCTTATATTCACTGTTTTCATGCTGAGGCAAAAATGAAACAATGAACAATTTTGTATTCATATCTTTCCTGTGCAGGGAAAAACATGGTTTTCTTTTATATAGTGCCTGGCTTTGTTTTCGATAAAAACCTCGAAAGAAGGAGGGAAAGAAGTGATCAAAAAGAAGAGCCCCAGATATGTTGCATGTGAAAAAGGTCCCTTTGGGCTGTTTCTTTCAGCGTTATCTCTTATCAGCAACCATCTGTAGAAGAGTGAGGGTGTTGAGTCACAAGGAAGCGAGCAAACACCTCACAGGACTCTCAGTGTAAAGCAAATACAGAGCAACATCAAGACTGGATGAAAATGGTAAGGTCACACATGGAAATTAAAGTGAATGCTAATTTTTTGGTTCCTACCCTTTACATTTTTGAGGGAAGAAATGATTTAAAAACTTCAATTTCTGTTTGTCAAAGGCCTTAAAAACTCAGATCTAGAACAAGTGATGTAAAAACGGTCAATGTGTGACACTGGATAAAAGTGACAAATATATGTAACGTTTTAACTTTAGAAAGAAGCAAGAGATTCAGTTTTGGGCAGATGAACCTGGCACTGCTATGTGGTAATCCTCAGAGGAAGCACAGATAGATGGATAGAGACACAATAATCTTTTTGGGGGCAGAGGACAAAATCTTAGATTTAGGAAATTGCCAGAGTACATTCTGGCCTCCAGCTTGATCCCCTACAGTCTGACAGAACGGCGGACGTGGGTATTAGAAAATCTCCGGCAGATAGGCATTTGAACGGAGGTCCTCTGAGGCCATATTTCTATTTAGTTATTTTTGACACAAAAGTAATAGAAAAAAATAATAATTTCCATAGAATAGACTTCTGGAGATATTCTTTTTCTCCATATGAAATATCACAACCCTCTTCATTTCACAAATTAATAAAAAAAAATATGTTAATTATTAACATATGAAGTTTCTGTCGCTTAATTGCATCAGAACCTGATGTTTTCTGGTCGGACTGTTAAACTTTGGAATCCACTCTTTGACCCCAAAGTGGTAAAAGAGCTCCCCCTTGTGGCTAACACCAATATAACTCAGCAACCCTAACAGTAGATTGCTATTAAAGGGGAATGTTATGTAAAATCGACTCTTTTGAGTTTTATATTACGCTATAATGTTATTCCCTCATTAAAAAACATACCTGGAGTATTCCGTCATGCATCTTTGAGAAGTCATCAAATCTCCCGTGGCAGCCATTCGGACAGAGTGCCTAGCTTACTCTCTCAAAGTGCCGCCTTTTCCACAAGGCTGTAGCCTTCAGCGCTGCAGTCTCCAGCCGAGCTTCCGCCTCGCATTCCTCCCCTCCTGTCCCACTCAGTGCCACCAGACTAGCGGCAGCAGCAATTATTTCACTGAACACCTGGCAGAACTGCACTGTACTGAACTAGTCTATCAAGCTAATCAGTCAAGCTCAGAAAACGCTGAAGGCAGAGTGCAATATAAAGTTTAAGAGCTTCTTAAAGAGACAGAGGCCAATTTTAAGTACATAATCAAATTTCTTTTAAGCTATATTAGATATACAGCATTTTTATAAATGAAAACAGTTACTGGAAAATACATATTTCTCCCCCTCATTTAAAAAAATCTCTAAGACAGTCACTATATTTTAACCTATTGCTTAAAATAGCTGTAGTTTTACAATTAGATTTCACCATATGTATTTTAATGCTTTACATTTGTCTTTTGAAGAACATTTTTCAGTACTTTACTGTTTTTTTCCTATTTTTAAGACATTTTATTCTAGTTGTCCATTATATTTAGTTCAGCATTTCCTGGTATTTTTAGTCGCACTTCTTTTGTTTCTAATCTCTGTGAAGCATACTGTATAACGTATGTAAGGATTCTACATATGTAGAGCTGGTTGAGTGAAGCTTTCACCAGATTCTTTTGAAATAATTGAATAAAAAAAACTTAGACAAAACAAGTCATTTATCTCACATAAAGGCAGCAGACCAGCTGGGGACAACATTAGCACTGAAGACAAACGCACTCAAGAAATGTTGGAATCTTTTACAGCAAAACATGTTTTTACAGATGTTGCTCCAAACACAAACAGCTGGGATGGAAGGTTACCACCTCACATACAAAGTGCTGTAGAGACTGTAATGTATTAACAAAGGTGAAAAAACTAACAGAGTGTCACTATCATGTTTGTTTATATCTCTTCAGGACAGAAAGGTGGTGGTGAGGGGTGTTAGGGAAAAAAAAAACATCTTCATGATCTTCTTCCCTACAAGAAGGATTGCAATCATTTTTACGATAAGTTCATCCTTTCTGCTGCTGTTGCAGATGTTTCCGTTAGCAAAGTTATCGACTGTATTCATAGCTGATATGTTGCAGAGGTCTGTGACATGGCGTTATAAATGAAAGTGTTGTTGAAGGGCACAAATTGGTGGCTGATGATCTTGATTGCCTCCTGAGCAGCTGATCCTACAAAGCACAAAGACAAAATATGTTAGCTGGCATCACAGAGGAGTTCAACTGTATCAGTTATAGGCATATGGTTTGTAAACGCTTCGGGGAAGAATTTACCTCCTAAGAACGCGGAAACTGTGTGTGGCTCCGCTGCACCGTACCGACAACTGCAGGGGTTAAATTATGACTAATTACTGTCAGCTCTAACAGCTACTTTGAGCAGCCAGTGAAGCAGTGATTGGCACTTACAACTCATGGATGTAGTCATCTTTTATGTTGACATTGAGGTTGTACTCTTGCAGCAGGCTATTCACGCACAGCTTCAGCTTGCTGATGTCTTCTTCCACCTGGTAGTTATACACTCCTTTCATAAGAAAAAAAATAAATAAATAAAACAAAACAGAGAAATGAAAAAGGAGACAAAATGTTGTAACATTTCAAAAATAGAAAAAAAAAAAAAGAACATGTTTCATACCTGGGTAGCGAGAGTGCAGCTGATGGAAGCGATCAACAGAGCGGAGCATGAGGTAGAAGACCATCTCGCTGTCTGGACTGTCCATGCAAGAAGCTGAGAAAAGATTTTGATACCTACAATCATTTGCTTTCACTTTATTAGCGAAGCAAAAGGTTCAAGAAACAGCTTCAACGCAAACTATATGAGCAATACAATTCTCTCAGACTTACTTATTTCATCCTTATTTACAGAATCCACGTGATATTCTTCAGCCAAAGACCGGCAGCACACAACACGCAGGAAGGCTGCGTTTTTACCTACGTACCAAAACAAACGCCTCCAGTTAGAAAACGATTTTTTTCCTGCAGGTTCAGCTAAACTATTTTGACTGATCAGGACTGAATCAAGTGCAGGTCATTTCAGATATCCAGAAAGATCTAACACGACAAAATGACATCACGTAAATTGCAAAAGAAACTGATCAGAATAAAAATAAAAAAAAATAAAAAAATTGTAAAATCTTCTCAGTGCGACTGTTAAAGAATATTAATAATTGGATCTACTAAAGTTGCTGAAGGCTGCCTTAACATGAGCAGAGAAAATATAATTCATTTCAAATGCTGAGTACAGAGAGAGTACTTACAGAACAGCTTGATGTCTCTTTCAGAAATGCTCTCTGCTGGCTGTTAAAAAAAGAGGAAAAAAACAGCAGCTAACTTAATGTTCTGTCCTAATTGAAGCAAATATTTTAAAATAAAATATGATCCACATAAATTGAAATTGTGTTCAAGTCTGTTTGGATTAATACATAAGGCATGACAATAACTGTCTAGTTAAGTACTTGCAGGAAACGTGTTCCTACACATTTCTGATGTACCAACAGTTAGAATTTGATAAAAGCAACAGCGTAAAGATTACTGAAACCTTCACAGACACGCTAATGCATGCTCACTTTTTTAAATCCTTAAAGTTAAACACAATACTCCTGCACAGTTTGGACATATGGCTGACCTTTCCAACAGACTGTAGTAGATTTTCAACATGCTTAGTAACAGCTGCTGCATCCTGCAGGGCCTTTTCCCTGTAACTGAGATAAAAATAAACAAAATAAAATAAATAAAAGTTTAGCCACTTGGATTCATGACCATCAAGTCCTTGTTTCTCACAGCTGGAGTCCAAATGTTCCCCCAACTTACATGTTTTGGAGATTGATAAACTTCTGAGAGTCTGCTATCATGTCTGGGATGGTGCCTCGTACAGGAAGGTTTCCACTGCCTTCACTGTGAACAAACTCTTTCACAGCTCGCAGCATCACCCAGAAGGATGGAGACTAAAACAAACAGGAAGAAACAAATTAACATGCAGATCAGTTGTAATGTAAACATATATTTCTTGTGCCTTTTAACAATGCTTGCATTTACAGAGAAACAAAAAAAGAAAAAACAAACCTGTGCTGTGATGTTGTTACATTGTTCACTACTGAAGAGATCTTCAACAGCACTTGGAATCTGCAGAATCCAGAGACATTATTAAAAAAAAAAAAAAAAGCAGATCCAATTACGGATTGGATTTACTAAATAGAAGACAGGATCTGACACCTTTGTCGGATTTAACGCAGTGTTGACATTCTTAATAGCTTCGTCAAAGTTTTCTTCATCTTCTGGAACACCGTTCAGATTCTTCAAGATCCCTAAAATGGAAACAAAAATCAATAGAGAATAAATCTTATAAAACAAGATTTATTCTCCGTCAGTTGATGAACAGGCAACAAAAACAATCCAGGGGTACACAGGTACCTTCCCGAATCATTTGTCTGAAGGATTCCTTCTCCTTGTAATTTTTTGGTGGCTGACCATCATGCTGCAACCACAAACAACCACAAGCGTATCAGACAGAAAACAAAACACTTTCAAAATAAAGACTGAGCCTCTGGGAACAGATAACAGAACTAAGCTCCACACCTCATTGAGCCATCTATCCAGATATTTAGCAACAATGATAATCCAAGGGGTGTGACTGTGATCCTACAAATAAAACAGAGAGAAAAGGGGAAATTGACTGTTATAAAAAGAAAAAAAAAAAAATAATTTAAAAGGGCTCTTAATGTGAAAGATAACTTAAAACCAACACCTTCTTTTCCATGCTTGTGAGGTCATAGGAGTTTATGTGGTTCTTAAACTCGTCAAAAGGTTGATCTAATCTGAGATCCTCCAATGCGTTGTCCGGATGAGATTCTATGACTAAAAAGAGAGGCAGCAAAGTAATAGTTTATAAATACAGAAGCAAATTAACTACAAACGATCATGTATATGTGCATGAGTAGAATGTTAATGTAGCATCATTAATCAAAATATTCTTATTGATTGTTAATGTGAAATAACAGAAAGCTCTAAGATAACGAACCCGGTCTCTTACCTGTGTGTTCCTGCACCACTAGCCTCATGTAGCCTATGAGGCCATAGGTTTTACAAACTAGATAAGGTACAGAGGCACTCCACAGAACAGAGCCGAGCCTTAAACATGTGCTGTTGACGGGTCAAAGAGAGAGAGAGAGAGAGAGAAAGAGAGAAAGAGAGAAAGAGAGAGAAAATGAGAGTTGGCAGACAGGAAATAAAATAAAAAAAACATGGCACTCATGCTGTTTTCCCAAACTAGTTGGACAACATCTTGTACCTTTCTGGCAACTGGACTCCAATGACTATTGTAAATCTGTGAAAAAACTCTGGATCATTGTCCAGAAGCTTGTCTGGGCTCTGTAGGGATAGAAAACACAAGCAAGAGTAATATATTATTATATATACACAGCATATTTTTAAATCTTTTATCATAATCTTGCTTTTTCATTAATGTAAGAACATTCTTCCAAAAACATATCTGCAGTGCATCAACATCAACAATTTAAATACATTGTGTTTTTCCGAATTTCATATTTTAAGTTTTTGGAAGTTGTCAAAATGAAAGGAATTCAAACCTCCTCGACAAAGTTTCCTGACACGTCGCTGTTCAATTCTTGTAGTAGCTCGGTGGCAGCCTGTGCTCTATTCTGCAACGCCAAAACACCACTCAGAGTCAAACTTCACTTAATTTTCCTCCCATTAACCATAACATTACGACCTGATGCATAAGCATGGACATGTGCAGAGATATACAGACAATTTGTAGAAACTGTGACAACAAGAATTTAAATCGGAAAAATCCCATGTATGCCAACCTTTCCAATGCTGTTGCTGCTCAGGAAAAAGCTGCAAGACAAAATGACAAAGATAGTTATTTAAACTGTATCTGTAATTACACATTTCATGTCAGTTGTTAAAAATAACAATAATAAATAAAAAGTCTTACTTATTTCCTACATCTTCCCCAGCAACTGTATGTCCATCTACAATGGTGAAAGCTCCAATCCCTGTCAAACATATAATTTCAGACAGCTGTTTTTGTCTCCATTAGCAGCACTCATCACAAACATAATCCTCTTACCTGGAAGCACCAGATTCTTCAGGATCTCTGTTCCAGTGGCTGTGGCATTGATGAGACATACATGTGCGTTCTCCAGAGCTTCCTGTCCATGGTCACCCCACAGACTGATGGTGGAAAACACAACAAAGACATATGATTTCATCTTACTGTATAACACCAATCATGTCCAGCCGATGCACCTTGCAAAAACAATGGTGATATCATCTCCTATTCCATTCATATTTATTTTAAGCCATTACATCAGTATTTACAGGTTGGAAAGTGGAAACAAATGGTAGAAGAAACGCTGTTTTCTCTGATTGAAGCCAAAGGCAAAACCGACATTTATCCCATCAACCTCAAAGCCAACGATGCTGATAGAGAATAAAGCAAAGCAAGCTAATGCTAACATGGAACCTCAACTTGTCTAACGACGTGTTCTGAGACTTCCGAGAATAACTATCCATGACATGTACCAACACAAAGCCCTGTTTCTTAATGAATACCAAGAAGCTCATCAAACTTACCGGAGCTGTCTGTCGTATTTTTGTTCTTTGGAGCCTTTGGTGGCTGCCATGATAGCTTTAAAATAACTTACGTTAATGGCTCTAGTTTTACTTCCGCGACGTCAGATTCGACACGAATGTGGCGGCGCGATGATCCGCATGCGCACTTTCGATAAAAAAAATAAAAATACTGGAACAGATATACGAGAAGCACACTTTAAAAATAATTTATAATTAATATTTGTATGTGTGGACTGTATTTTGTTTTAACTGGGCTGGGTGATGGATGAAAGACTATTACATATTGTGGAAAGCATAGACAAAATAAACATTGCACAAAAGTGTATTAAAAATGTTTTATATAATTTTATGTGATTTTGTGGTGAATCCAGGGAAGCTTAGTTTTTTAACATTTTAATTCGGTGGCCAATTTGTTCAACTTCCTACTCAATTCTGATTATATTTTTACCTCTTTATTTTTTCTTCCTACATTTTTAATAAAATACCTACTAGTAAAGTTTTAATGTAATTTATTTTTAGTTTTATAACTGTCTTTTCCTTTCAATTAAAATCTCTTCTATTTTGCTCAAAAATCCATTTAATTGAACTTGAGAATATTTAACATAAGGAAATTGACAAATGAAAGTGGTCCAACATTTTAGTAACATCTAAGTAAGCATTGATTTGGGGTCAGAATTTAAATATATGGCCCAAATGCATTGATAGAAAATTGGTTTGATGTTTGATGTACGTTCAAAGGATTGCAATATTTACCTCATACATCTGATGACAAGTTTGGCAAACGGTCCCTTTATGGGTCCTGGATTTGTTGAGTAATTTGAATATCCCTGTGCTGAGAAGTAAATGGTGCCCACATATTGTGTATGTGAGCACATCATGTCAATATTTAAAGAACATGAAAAGCAAAAACAACCCCAAAGTTTTATTTATTTATTTATTTATTTATTTATTTATTTATTTATTTATTTATTTATTTATTATTTGCAGAAAATTTAAACTTTAAAATTGATTTGCTTTTGTTCTCTTAGTCTTCTGAAAAACCTTCCAGGAAGAAATCCTGTAACCCAGAAAAGCTGTTTTTCATCTTATTTGTTTTCTACTTTTCCTATCAAATAACTGACAGTACTCAAAAAGACAGAAGTGGCCTATTATTTCAGGGTTCATTACATTTTCCCTGTCACGCTTTCTTAAATTATAATCTCTCCGTCTGTTCATAAATGGATAAGTTACCGATTGATATATTTATGTGGGCGCGAGGGGGCGTGTCACACCGGGAGTAATTGTCCGTCCCCCTTAATAAACTTCATCAATAGCTGCACCAGCTGATCTCTGTGACCGTCATTAAGTGTGACTTAAGCCGCAAACAAGGACAATGACAGGACACCACTGGGGATACGGAAAAGAGGACGGTAAAAAAAATTTCTTAATTAGACTCTGTATAATATATTTAATGATTTCAGCGTAATAAATAGTTTCTTGGCTGCACAAACAGATCCTGCTCTGCTTCTCCGGAAGGATACCTGCAGGCTGTTAAACCGGGATTAACCCGCTGCTTTAAAGGGTGACCGACCGCTGTCACTTTACCTTGAGAATCTTCTGTTGAGTTTGCCCTGGACTTCTGAGAGGGGAAACGACTAATAAATAATGCTTTCTGACCATTTTTAAGAATGAGTTGGTCTTTACTCATTTGTTTTGCACAGAAGTCTGATGATGAATTGTAAAATTTCTAGGGTAGATTTTGAGGTATGGGTTTTATTTTTGTCAAGGGGACAAAATAAAAGCCATTTTATTTTTGATCTTAGCATGTGCAGGGAGTTGATTTTATTTTATGCCTTAAATGAATTGAAGCTGTTGTAAAAATATGGATTTTATTCCCCCCCACCTCCCTCCTTTGTAATCTAAAGGTCCTTCAGCATGGCACAGACAGTACCCAGTGGCCAAAGGAAACCGCCAGTCTCCCATTGACATCATCCCTGATGAGGCCAGACGTGACAGCAGCCTGGGTCCTATTTTCTTGAAGTATGACCGGTGTACATCTCTTAACATCTCCAACAATGGACACTCTGTAGTTGTGGAGTTTAATGACTCTGATGACCGCTCAGGTGAGAATAATCTGTTTGTTGACTTTCTTATTTTCCCCTGAAGGTTTTGTCAGAATTTTTTGCCCCTGAAATAACGCAGAATGCTTTGCAAGGACAATGTTTAAAGATCACCTTGCAGCTCTTAATGGTGGTCATAGTTCAGAGATAATGTCACTCTCTTATCTGCCGATGCAAACATGCTGTAAAAATCTGTGCTGAAACCAAAGGACAACAAGTTTTGGAAAGTGCAAACCAGGTGTATTACTGGCCATAATAAAAGGCTGAAAATGAACCTCTGATTATGAGGCAGGAAAGTGCAGCTAACACTTTATGAAGATCTGTCTGCTGGACAAAGATATAATAACCTGTCGGAGACGTCAGTGGTTATTATGACAATGCTTGTTTTTGTGACTGGGTGGATGCATGATGGCCACCCTGCAATCATCATGAATGATAAGTACAGAAGCGTGGGCAGTTCCACACAGAATTTCCACATGGCAAGCAAATGTAGGGAAATAACAGATTAAAGAAATTGACCGTCAGTTAAACACAAGCAGCACCGAGTCTTCTCCAATTTTTCCCAAACTGCTTGCAAGTTGCTTCGAGACGTGAAATGTGATTTTGGGAAATTGCATACTTGGAAAAGGAAAATAATTTAGACAAATTGCAAAAGTGGCATTTTAGCATTGGGACACAACACACAATCACTTGCAAAACACATGAAATTGGTACCAATTGGGTAAAGTTATCGAGATCTTTAATTTGTGTGGGTAAAAAAATAATTATATATGGCAAGCAAATAACTCAAGCAAAAAATTATAATGGGTAAGTGCATACAAAAAAATCAGGATTATTTTTTTCCTGGATCATGTTTAATTTCATGTACAAATAATTATCAAAACTTTTTTTTATTTTTCACGTGATGGGAGACCATTTTGAGGCACATGATTTTTTATATTTAAATTAACCAGATCTTGACTTTCTCACATGAGCTTTTTGATGAACCCTTCATTTTGTTTTTAGATTCTACTATACATTTTTAACCTGATTTAGATTGTTTGGCTTGTTGTTGATTTTTACGCTCAAAACACAGAAAGTTGTTGTCTTTGGGAAACTAACCAGAACGGTCACAATGTTTTCATCGGTGCTAAGTAGAAAGTTCTCAAAACTCTAGGTAGTAGTTTAATAAATTTAGTGATAACTACTTTAGCTTTCCTTACATTTAGAGACAGTTATTGGTTTTCATGTGCGAAAGTGTAAGTTGTTTCAGGTGTATACTTTGTAATTTGTTTCTCTGTGTTGCCTATGGAATCTGCCACAGTCAAATCATAAGCAAATTTTAAAAATTCGCGTGAGGGAACTCATTTACGTTCAAACGAGGTAAACAAGAATGGGCTGATTGTGATGGAGCCTGACTTTATTAACACAGTCCTTCCTGATTGTGGTCTCTGAAGTTCAGAATTCAACAGCATAATGAGCTTTTTGATGAAGTGCACCCAACGGGATTGTGCAGACTTTTAGCGTCAAGGAATTATGTTCCAGTGCGAAGATGCCTCTGTGTTTGTGCCAAATGTGGCTTATTTGCTTTAAAAATATCAATCTGCAGTAGGACTGAACAGTGTAACCAATCACAATTGTACATGCGCAAGATAATGTTTGCAAAGGACTGCCACAGTGTAATATTTTGTGGACTCTAATATTTCAGCTGCCATGATTTCAAACTCTTCTTAGCTGGTAATATTTTTAATGGTTCTCTTGCTGTTTAGATCAAATATAGATGTTTGTGGCTGAGGTGCCCAAGCAAAGATGGCGAACATCAAAATGGCACTGAACATAGGGAACAGTGAACAAAATTTGAGTTAATGGAAGAGTTGTCTACATTTTACCATACATGGTCAAAATATCAAATAAAGGGAACCAGGCAGACGCACCTAAACTGGACTAATGACTTTAGATTGTTGAGGAAGACGGAGAACCTGACTTGTACAACCATGATATTCCCAAATTGAAGCTGTGGGAGGACGGAGTACGCAGAGAAAATGTAGGTCAGCAGCACAGAGATATAGAAAGATGATATACTGAGACTGAATCGGCATCATCTTCCATGATGTGTATTATGACGGTGTTCATGTAAACTGAAAACTGTAAAAAATGTAGGTCAATGCATGTTACTGCACGGACTCATCTTGTTGCAGCTCTGAGAGAAGGTGTCAGGCTGTGTTTGATGCCTTTTTACATAGTACTCTGTTCCAGGAAGGCATTTCTATAACACTTCCTGAAAAGTGGGAGTGTGAAGGTGCAGTTGGTGCCACGTGTGACTTCCAATTTATTTTTCTCACTTTCCTATTTCTGCCTACAGTGATTCAAGGAGGCCCTCTTGACAACCCTTACAGACTCAAGCAGTTTCACTTCCACTGGGGTGAAAAGGGATGTGAAGGATCTGAGCACACTGTAGCAGGAATAGGCTATGCATCGGAGGTCTGTGTTTGGATTTGAATACTTCAGTTCTTAGGTTGCTGGTAACTAAATAGACCCAGTAGACATGGGTAACATCTTTCAACTTGTACGGTAATTGAAGAATGAAGACAAGTTTTTTTGGATTTTAGTTTATTTTCATAAAATCCTGTTAATGTATGACTGCTAGGGACATGTCATCCCAGCAGAGAAAGCAGATATTTGTTCCTAATTTAGTTTTTCTGCTTATCTCTTTCTTTAGCTGCATTTAGTTCACTGGAATGCTGTCAAGTACAAGACGTTTGAGGAAGCAGCAACGGCTCCTGACGGCCTTGCTGTCCTTGGCATCTTTTTAGAGGTACATTTAATGCATGTCCAGTTGTAGTTTCATCCTATCATATTTTTGAAGTTCTTAAGGTGTTAGTGTTGTAAATTCGATAAATTTGTGTATTGGTTTTAGATTCCCCCCCCCCACACTATTAAGAAACGTTGTTTCTGACAAAGCTAGCACAATAGCTTTTGCAGCTCGGTGGGTGATGATAATCAGATGGATCTGGCTAAACAGATACTGTCGGTTA